AGGGCGGTTCCATCCGGCGTCATTAGTGGAAAATCCTAAGTGGAGTGTGGCCGAACGGTCTCTCGCATCCCTTCCATTAATGGTTGGCAGTAACTGCCCACCCTCAGTCATCGTGCCCTCAGCCTTTGAACTTGCTCCCTTCAGATAGCACTTTCATCTGAGACAATGGACTCATGGGTAGCTCTTAACTGCAGTAATGCACATCTGCTATTCACCCGTTTCACGGCAGAACAAGCGGGGAACGATCTAGCAACTGCGAGCTGGCAAGTCGGCCAAACACATGGAAGGTGACGCTCCTTATGCAACCAGGGTACACCATCAGAGTGAGAAAAACGGCGTTCTCAGACGATTCCCACTCGATAAATTCTTTTGCTGTATAACTTTCCTCCCCCTCTCCTATCTGCCCTCTTCCCAAACTTTCCAAGTGACAACCACTTCTGTTCAGTATTCCTAAGCTTTCCTTCAAAATAATGCCGTCGAGTGGATAGGGAGGGGGGAGGAGGAACAGGGAGCGTTTCTGAACAACCACTTCAAAAATGACTGCTGCTTATTGTTAGGTCTTTGACAGCTCCGTCAACTAGGTCGAGGTATATAACGAAAAACTGCGCAAACTTAACAACCGAAAATTCCATTCTTGACTTAAAAATTTCTGTCAGGACTAAATACGACCTCCATCATTCTCCCCCTCTCCTCTCTTCCCCCTGATGGACTCTCCCAACGGTGGGTACCCTGCAGGGCACATCATTGGTTGGGGATTTTGGCCCGAGTCTGTCAAGGACCCCCCTCCCCTTTTCTTTGGGGGTTGGTGCGACCCCCCCCCCTCTGTTCCTCCTCATCGAATCGAGCCGTCGAGCGGGGGGGGGAGGGGGGAGGGCATATAGTACGCATGAAACAGGAAAATCACCAAAAGTCAACCACCACTCCTACAACGCCAAAACGTAAATACGACCCCCCTCCCAACAATGACCAAGTACGACCCCCTCCCCTTTACAACGTCCGTGAAGCGAGAAAAATCAACTATCAAAATAAATTTTTCCCAGCCCAATACGACCCCCCCCTCTCCTGGCGGCCAAATACGACTCCCCCTATTGGGGATTCCTCAACAGCGATGTGCCCTGGATAGCCTGTTTCCTAATATACCCTGTTTCCTAATAGAGTGCCTCACAATTGAGGATTCCTCCCGAAGATTGAGAGGTTGTGGTTCATGGAGAGGGTATACATCAATTGGAAAAGTAGTCGTCACAAATTTTGCTTACCGGGGATAGAAAGAGGTGAAGTAAAGGGGGATAGAGAGACGAAGTAAACAGCTCAAGAAGCAGGCAGACCAGAAACTCTTGATGAGTTGATGAAGAAGTGAAGTTGCTCTGAAGTAAAGTGTCATATCACTATAACATATGATCACTCTATTCTATACACAGAAGCTTGTGTTGGTCGGTCTCGGAAGAGTGTTCAGGGTGAGATAGACTGGAGGAGAGTGATAGCACGAAATTGACTGCTAGTCATAAAGCAAACCAGGATGCTGGCAGCTATCACTATCTGAGATGATGTTTTGATTATGGTAGCATCTTCCTCGCCTATAAAAGGCACTCCTGTGGTAGGTTTGCAGCCACTAAACTACATGGTGCTTCCCAAGCAGGACCTTGAGCAGTGCGGGCAGAAGGCTGCCGATTTTCGCGGTGAGTTAATGTAGCGACCTGAGGCCTATCTATTAAATTCCGTCCCACTGGGGACTACGGCTGTGGTCCACGAGAGTGTGCATAGCAGACACCAGTATACCACAAAAACACACATGTAACATATACAATTATACACAATTATACATGGTACGTATCGCCTGACTTAGCATTCAACGTGCTGGCGCTCCTTTGAGGACCATCTTTTCTTTCCTCACTGCAGGCTTCGCTCGCTGGCGGATCAAGGGGCGTGACAGGAGGGATGGATGGGCGCGGCGACGCAACCTATCCGTTCTGCTAAATTGCTGAAGGTGGTTTAAGCGGCGGCAGTTAGTAGGCACTGACTGATACTAACGACATTGATACTGATCGTACCTTGCTTGCTCTCTTCACATGCTGGTGGATTAAGCGGGTTTTTCGGCATCAAACCGCACTCGGTTCCGACACACCCCTTCATTCGCTGGTGAAGAAGGACTTGTTAACATAGCCAACTAAACAACTCTTTTTCATCTCTCTCTTCTTTTGCGATTTGCAAAGTTGATTGGAAAGATTATCATTTGGTGTCACATCGGGTTTCAAAACGGCATTTGCATACCGGTTTATCTGGATCACGAATTAGACGAAGCTGTCCGCGATTTTCGAAAGACGCGACAGGGTTGGGATAAAAGAAGGGAACATAGGATCAGCATTGTGCTTTTTCTTTTTCGAGACGTCTAAAAAGGAGTGTTTCTCTCTTCTTTTTTTGTGGTGCTATTCGGTAGATCCCGGTGGGATGGAAGGATGCTTGCTAGGAAAGAGTCCGATCCAAGGTTTGGCTTCTACCGTGCGTCTACTGTATAAGCTGCACTTGCGCTCTGTCTCGACATATATGAAGCTAAAATCTATGACCAATAAGTAAAATGCAAAACAACATGCTAGAAATGTGCTCACAGACCACTTCCATACAAATCTTCCTGTTTACAGTGCATTCTGTAGATGGTCAAATGCTATGTAAAGTGTGAAACAAAAAAAGTAATTAAATTCATTCCACTAAGTAGGGCAGCACGAATACTTATCCACTATGACGGAGTGGAATAAAATAAATAACCCGGTCACTGGTAGGAAAACCCGCTATGGCAGAAGTGTCAATCAAGTAATCACAGATGAATATCAGGCAGAATCGAAATTGTCCCTACTAAAGGTTTCTATTATTCCAGATGTCGTTTTCGGGCTCGCTGCGACTTCTCGTATTGAACGAGTGGCCGCTTCTAGTCAAGAACCGACAATATGGCCAATTTATTGCCCTGTAATTGAGATTTCCAATAATCGGATGGCTATCGAAACCTCCTTGATATACCTGGCGAGCCTCCTTGTTTTTCATATCCAACATAGAAGTTGTTATTAACTATGTAGGGCCGCATAAGACTGTGGTCCTTATCGCTGAGGTAGTACCTGTAAACATTCGATTTAGAGGGATTAATCAAGTATTTAGAGCATTTTTCTGGCTGAATCCTCTGACGGCTCACCATTTCCCATCTGCGACTTCTTGTATTCGAAGTTTCGACAAACTACGCCGTGATATTGTATAGAGCATAACTCGTTGAGAATATCCTAAATAAGCAGAAATATGCATGCATCAAAACGATGAAGGTGCGTTGCGGCAACGCGGCGAAAGCGAGCTTGCGTGCAGGCAATCAACATGCAGCGTCATACGCCACCAGAAACGATTGCTAGTCTGATGGATCAACAGCTATGATATGTCAACTGCTAAACTGCTCTGCAACACGGATGCGTGAGCAAGACAGTCGTCCGAGCTGCGTCTGGGAGCGCGATGTAGCGCTTTGCGACTAGGTCTGTGGCGCCTGCCTGTCCAGGAAAATAGTTCAGAAGGATTCCCCGTAGTTCCCTCATATCACACATTGCGAGCGCGACAGGACTGTAGTCATTGTAGTTGCTGTCTTCATTTCGTGGAGTAAACTCGATATAGCAAGATTTATAAGTTCAGGAACTAAATCAAATGTGTTGGCGGGAAGGGGGGGGAGAGCAGAGAGACGGGCAGAAATCTTTTTGGTGCAACCAGGAAGCGAGAGCAGCGCTAATTCCGCTGTCCTATGTCCAGGGACTGCGCTAGCAAAACGTGGATGTTGTGCGCACTCGCTAGTCCCACGCGCTCATTTTTAGGCAGTCAGGGGTACAGTACCCCGCTTATTTTTACAAAGTGAGCTCGATAGCCATATCACCCACACGCGCGAGGGCCACGCCCACTAGCGTTCCGTACAAATCCTGCACGTTCTCAGGAGGCCGACGTCCTAAAATAAAATAATTAATGCTGGCAAACTTGTACTTTGCGGCAGCGTAGCGTAGCGCGCAGCGCTTCCAGCGTACGCCAGCGGCAGTGCCGGGGAAAGGATAGATATCGATCTAGCTTCACCAGCGTCACCAGCGTACGCTGGCGTAGCGAGGGCACGGGAAGCATAGCTATCGATCTAGCTTCACCAGCGTTTCTCGAGCGTTTCTCCAGCGGCACCAGCGTTTTGCTAGCGCTTGCAGCGGCAGGGAGTAGAGACTATGTGGCCGTGAGAGACGCAGAAGCGATGTGTATTGTAGAGACTAAGGGCGAGTGAGAGACGCGCAATCGATGTGTTTTGTACCCTCCAGCTCTCCCATAGTCTCTACTCCCCTGCCGCTGCAAACGCTAGCAAAACGCTGGTGAAACGCTGGAGAAACGCTGGCGTACGCTAGCGTGACGCTGGTGACGCTGGGAACGCTAGATCGATATGCATCCTCTCCCCGGCACTGCCGCTGGCGTACGCTGGAAGCGCTACGCTACGCTGCCGCAAAGTATAAACGCAGCCTTACTTACTTTACAACTTACTATGGCAAATTGCCTCACGAGTTAATAAAAAAAAATGTTGCTCAACAAAAACACCCTGCGGTACTATCAAGCAATCACATAAGAATCACCTGATCATAAACTGATTTGTTTTCCAAGATACGCTTATTGATTTCGTTGAGTAAAACTATTGAAGTATTCGTCGGTTCCACCAACATTGGACTGAATGCCAAAGAGTCACCCTCAAATAAATAATTTTACGGATTTCCTCACCACTCAAAAAAGCGTGAGTTATAGCTCGTGCTCCAAAGCCAAATTTTAGCACCGTCATAGCAGCAGGTAACCAACAGGTTGATGCGATCATTGGTCAGTGGGCAGCGGGATGCGCATCCGTGTATGTGCAAACCGTAACGCGGCGCATTGATAGGGCGTGGATTTAGGCCGAGCGGCGGCTCCAGTCCGGATTTTCTGACATTTCAGATCTATCCTCTTTAGGCATAGTTTAGACTTTGCGATTACGCGTGTAGATGCGCTGTGGCGCACTACAATAACGGGTACATGACATCTTCGACTCTTGTGCGTGGTCCTGTTGCGAAACCATGTAACGCAGACAGATGGACGACAGCGGCTGCCAAAGCATCGAAAAGGGCAGGAAACAGCCAAGCCAGGAAACGGATTTTTTTTCAGGGGGGGGACAGTTATAACCCGTGAAAAGCTGGGCTGTGCAAGTCACAACAGCCACAGAGTGCCATGCGGACGAGAGAGTGCCAAAAAAAACAGAAGATCGACGGAGTTTAAAGGGAATGACTTCAAGTTGTCCATAGACATACCATCAACAGCGCCCCCCACTCCAGATGGATATCTGACGGCGGCGGCGCCCGCCAGCTTTTGGAGAGAGTGTAGAATGACAAAAGGGTGGGAGTTGTCCTAGATAGGTTCATGATAGGTCTGGCATCCAGCGGGGCCAAGTCTAAAACAGGTGTATTGCCACACCTTCACTCTAAGATGGCGAAGTAGAAGGGGAGGCATCCATTGAAGAGTGCACAATGGCCGGTCCCGTCCATATAATCAGTGTGGTATGTGCCTTTGGAAGAGCTAAGGTCAGCTTTCCAGAAATATTGGAATAAGCTATTTAAATTCTAGTCTCCGCGCTTGACGGAAGTAGCGCGAACGCAAGAATTTGTAACT